AAAACATATGGTTCAGAACAGATTAACCGTATTTACATTGAACCTTATGGGAAAATTTGATCTGGGTCGCGATCAATTCGGGTCGCGACCAGAGTTGCAGAATGAATTAAGTTCGTGACCCGAGGTACCACTGTACCACTAAACATGGAGCACATTTAATTATCGTGTGCAATGCCCATTAGAAATTTTCTCCATACGTGTTAAAAATATTCCTTTAAAACAGGGGTTCCTAAACTATTTGCCATCACACCTCCCTTTAGTATTATCTTAATGTAACACACCTCCCCTAAAAATCCAAACACCAAAATGAACACAAATGAACAATGAAAACAATACAATGAAACTTTGGGAAAGGTGGATTTATTAACTAAAAGGTTTTTCACACCTCCCCTGGACTCTGTCTGCACCACCCCAAGGAAGGTACACCTCAGTTTGGGAAACTCTGCATTAAAACCATATTTTTACAGATAGTCCTTGACTTACGTCCATTTGTTTAACGACTGTTCAAAGTTACAACAGCGCTGAAAAAAGTGACTTACGACCTCTCCTTGCACTTACGACTGTCACAGCATCCCCATGTTCATGTGATCAAAATTCGGGCGCTTGGCAACTGGCATGTATTTATGACAACTGCAGCATCCTGGAGTCACGTGATCACCATGTGTGACCTTCCAACAAGCAAAGACAATGGGGGAAGCTGGATTCACTTAATGACCACGTTATTCACTTAACGACTGTAGCAAAAAAGGTCATAAAATTGTGTGCAACTCAATTACCGCATTGCTTAGCAGCAGAAGTTCTGGTCCCAATTGTGGTCGTAAGTCAAGGACTACCTGTATTTCTTCGCGTCATACCCCATTGTATTTAATAAACTATAAAAACATTGCAGAGCTATTTTCCTAAGTAAAGATGTGCATCTATAAAAGGATAATAACATCTAAGTACATCTATCAAAGGAAGATTAATGTAATGGTCACATCCTGTCTTTAGAAATAAGTATACGAAAAACAACCTGTTTTAGTCTATAGGTTGACACGAAACTGTTTTGTTCAAATGCTTCCGAGATACGATCGGCACAGTAAAAAACGTTGGGACTACGATTCGCAGTATATCCAGAAAGCATAGTCGTTGGATAAGTATTCTGGGAATTGTAGTTTCAACAGATGGACAGCATCGGGTTCAGGAAGATGAATATAAAGCACCGGAACACGCTTTCTCGGTCTGGACTGTTTAGGAATCAGGACATCGGGAAGCGCGCGGTAGCCAATCAGATCGAAGAATTTCGGGACGCCAAATAGCCGCAAGAACTTTTGCCTCAACCTATCAGTTTCTACACCCGGGAAGGCCCCAGCCAATCAGAAAGACCCTGCCCCTTTCCGCCAATTATAAATGAGATTTGCATCTCTTGACGAATTAAGAGATGGTAATTACATTCCTAGCCCTATCGGAACGAAGCCTGCTGCTAAGAGAGCTAAAAGCTCCCGCCTCCCTCAATCGGTCCAACGGCGGAGCGGGGAGGAGGAGGAGAATTAAAAAGGCAGGGTAACACCTAACTGACAGTAATGCTGACTACTCAGGAAAGGACTTCCGTCACTACCAGCCCATGAACGTTTAAATCACGTGCCGCTCAGCCATTAAGAATGGGGCGGTTGCTACGGTCTGCCTAGGGACCACCTCACCTGTTGCTAAGGGGCGTGGAAACGGAAGTTGAGTTCGCCGGGGTCAGAGGCCGGCTGTGTTGATGTTGACACTAGGCCGGGCCCATAGATGGGCCGTAGTAGACGCCGCTGTCAGGAGCCCGCGAGAGTCCCGGAAGCCGTAGGAGCCAGCGGGAAGAGGCCCTTTCAGGGGAACTGGGCTGCTCGGGACGCCCGCTTCCCTGTCGGGTGCCTCCCGGGGATTGAATGCTTCGCTTCCTTCCGCCGCCCTGCTGAGCTGAGCGGAGTTGCCGTGGGACGGCGATACGTTGTGATTGAGCCTCTCTTCCGGGCACGCGCCTCCACCTTCCCTCTCCTCCTCTCGACAGAGGCTTTGCCGTCCCTCTCGGCTCCTCGACCGCGACGTTGCCCTTTCCTCCCTCTGTCCCCCCCCGAGCCCTCCTCATCCGGGTAACCTGCTCGCGGCTTAGCCCTTTTCATCCGGGCACCCGCCGGCGCTCGGCCCTCGGAGCGGCG